TTTTGACACCATTTTAAGATTACTCTTTACACCACAGATATTTTAAACAGTGTAGCTTTTAAATTAAATGCAGAAAATAATGCCCATGATTCTATGTTTAAATAAGTAGTCTTTTATTATTTTAAAATTTTTGTAGGGAAATATATATATTAAACAATTTAAATTCTTAATTGAATGTGTATGTTTAGAATTTTGTGAAATCATGACCAATAAAATAACAAATTAGATCCTAATACTAAAAAACATTTGCTTCAGCGATGTGTACTTTTTATTTAAATGGAAATGTTAACAAACAAAATTTTCTTTATTGAAGCAATGAAAATCCTTATCTCATCAGAGAAAATCAAACCCAGTATTCTGAAAAACTTTTGAAAGATTGTATTATTGGTTTCTTATTTATTATTAGAAAATAATACATTCATTATAATACGCAAGTTTATATTAAAATTGTCTAGCAAATTTAATTTATTAATTCTTACATTTTACTTGTCCTTGTCATTTAATCTACAAATAATTGAACACTGAAAATCCTTGAGTAAAACAATTTTAAAATTTAGTATGCTTTCTTTACTTTCCTTTATCACGAAATTGTAGTTTAGGTTTGTTTTATATCGCTTATAGTCGATAAATATAAATGCAAAAATTCATAAAAAAAAAATTATTTAAACGTCCTTATAACTAAATAATATATAAATCAACATGTCCTTTGGATTAGTGGTTTTGGGAACAAAAATAGCATATTTTATTTAGTAGCTTTTTTATATTTGTATTTTAAAAATAGAAATTTTATGAAGAAAAATTAATTAAAAAGCTATTTTCCTCCTTGATATGTTTGAAGTTCGCATTGCGTATTTTTCTATTTATTTACCTTTTAAATCGATAACTTTTTATAAAAACTGTTACCGTTCCAATTCGCTACACAAACAGAGATAACCGAGCGAAGCGAATGTTAGTGACACGAATTTCTTTGTAACGCGCACACACTCTTTATGTTCCGTGGCTTTGTGGCGAAAATTTTCGTGTCAACTCACAATATCGTGAAAAGCACTCGCCAAAAGTCAGTCTATTATTTTAACTCCAAGTACAAATGTAAAGTTAATTAACAATTAGCTTCTTATCGCAAAAAGGTAACAGCACGTATTTTTTGTAGACACACTTTGAATTAATTATTATTTAATTAATTTAGAATTTTTTTATTTTTTTCTTGTTTTTAACGTAATAGGAAAAAAATACAAACAAAATAATATGAAACATATTTTAGGTTTTCATTTTTTCTTATATTTTTTTTCTTAAAAAAAGTTTCATTTATTCTATAATGTATTTTTTAATCATGACTATTGTGTTGTTTAAATACATGCATAAATGTTCCAAAAATACATATTATGTTTGTATAGAGCAATAAAATAAAAAAAATATGTGCGTGACAAAATTTTGCATGTGAACAAAGAATTCCATTTAAATAAATCTAAAATAAATACACATAGTTCACTTTACATACATGCATCCAAGAAAGTTATTAGGGATTTACTATGTTAACGTATCATTTTGATTTTTTATTAATTTTTATATAAAGTTTTAAAGGTTTTATGTGAATCTTGAGGTATGTTTTACTTTAACGTTTTCTTTATTATGGGTTAAATAATTTTTTAAAATCCTTGAATTGAACAGGTCGATTTTTTTTTAATTACCCACATTTTGATGTACAATTTTCATAATTTCTGCCAAAAGTGCCATTCATACAAAATTAGACTGGTGCAGAAATTTAACGAAGATGATCCGGACCGTAGACTACAATTTTGTGAAACTATGATGAATTTATGTAACAATAACCCACACTTTCCTCGTAACATACTTTTTTCGGACGAGGCTACCTTCTGTTTGAATGGTACAGTCAACCGTCAAAATTGTAGGTACTGGCGCAGAGAATATCCTCATTGGGTAGTAGAGGCAAATTCCCAATACCGGCAAAAAGTGAATGTCTGGACAGTAGGGTGATGCAAAAAATTTTTTTTTTTTTAATTCTATGCGAGACCACTCGGGTTTTCAAAGATTATCAAAAAAATAAAAATCTGTAAAAATTTCAGAGAAATCAATTAAAATTTAGAGGTCGCTCAACGCAATTGTTTAATTTAGAAAAATCAGGCATCTCAAATGCATTGCTATAAACAAGTAGGCATATTTCATACAAATTTGAATGAAAATGGTTGAATTTTTTTTTGGTGGACTCTTAATGATTATTCTAATAAATAATGTTGTCCCGATTTCAAAAAATTTTTAATAATATTTAAAAAATATATATTAATTAGCAAATATAGCTTAGTTAACAAATAATTCATTAATTTTTTTTTTTGTTTCAAAATCTGTAAAAACATTTTTAATAGGTCTACAAGCAATTATTCATTCACAAAAACACTCGCCCCCATCGTTAAATATGAGAAAAAAAATAATATTTTAATTAACTACACTTCGCGTCAAATTTAACGCACCACTAAAAGTTTGTTACATTTTCAAAGTTGATTTTCTCGCGAACCGTCAAACCGAATTTAGTGATTTTTATAAAAAATTGTAGGTTTATTCTTCGGTAATAATGCGTTTATTAAAATATTTTTTTAAATTAACATTTTGAGTATATACAGGGTGAAGAGTGATAATAAGTTTTTTCCCGGAAATTTAAAACGCCCTGTGGATTGTACCAGCTATAACAGCATATGTATCTTATAATCAAACTATAGCCACATCTTCTCTTAACATTTTGTTTTTTGATTCACCGCGTTATCTTTATTTTTAAATGAAATATACAGTTAAAGATTAAAGAACTCCAGTTTAATACAAAAATGTAAAAAGAACGATTGTGACAATAACAACAAAAATATTAACAAAATCAATAAAACCAACATTAAAGAATATCAATATCGCATATTTCTGCCTCTACTTCTAATTACGGCTTCACATCGACGGCTTACACTCGAAACCAGATGTCTAATCTCGTCTTGATCAATGACATTTCATATTTCTCGTAGCATATTTGCTACGTTATCAAGGGAGGCAGGCAAGGAATCATGATTTCTTAGTCGTCTACCCATATTATCCCACAAATGTTCGATGGTGTTGAGATCCGGACTACTTGCAGGCCAGTCTAAAGTTTTAACACCCACTTCATGTAAGTACTCTTGCACTATATACGTAGCATTATCCTGCATCAGTAAAAAATTATTACCGGGCGAAAGGGACAACATGCTCAAATAAAATGTCCTCGATATATCGTACACTATTCATGGTACCTTAATCTTTAAATGTATAGTTCATTTAAAAATAAAGATAACCCGGTGAATAAAAATACAAAATGTTAATAGAACATGGGGCTATAGTTTGATTGTAAGAGACATATGCTGTTATAGCTGGTACAACCAACAGGGCGTTTCAAATTTCTGGAAAAAAACTATTTATTACACTTGCACCCTATATATACTCAAAATGTTAATTTAAACAAATATTTTAATAAACGCATTATTACCGAAGAATAAACCTACAATTTATTATAAAAATCACTAAATTCGGTTTGACGGTTATATATGTATATACTCAAAACTTAAATTTAAAAGAATTTTTTAATAAAGGCATCATAACCAAAGAATAAACCTCAATTTTAAAACAAAAATTACCAAATTCGGTTTGACGGTTCGCGAGAAAATCAACTTTGAAAATGTGACAAACTTTTAGTGGTGCGTTAAATTTGACGCGAAGTGTAGTTAATTAAAATATTATTTTTTTTTCATATTTAACGATGGGGGCGAGTGTTTTTGTGAATGAATAATTGCTTGTAGACCTATTAACAATGTTTTTACAGATTTTGAAACAAAAAAAAAATGTAATGAATTATTTGTTAACTAAGCTATATTTGCTAATTAATATATATTTTTTAAATATTATGAACAATTTTTTGAAATCAGGACATTATATTTATTAGAATAATCATTAAGAGTCCAACAAAACCATTTTCATTCAAATTTGTATGAAATATGCCTACTTGTTTATAGCAATGCATTTGAGATGCGTGATTTTTCTAAATTAAACAATTGCGTTGAGCGACCTCTAAATTTTAATTGATATCTCTCAAATTTTTACAGATTTTTATTTTCTTGATACTCTTTGAAATCCCGAGTGGTCTCGCATAGAATTCAAAAAAAAAATTTTTTTGCATCACTCTACTGGACAGGAATGGTCTTTGGGGTTCTTTCTTCTTTGACGAGAATATGACAGGACAAAAGTATTTGGAATTTTTGCAAAAGACCTTCTTCTCGTATTAGCAGAAATGTTTCCCAATGAGAATGGAGGTCCCGATATACTAAGTGATACCATTTGGTTTCAACAGGAAGGTGCACCTCCGCACTATGCGCGTCCTGACCCTACTTTTTTGGACAGATGTTTTCCTGACAGGTGGATTGGCAGACGAGGACCGAAGGAGTGGCCAGCGAGATCTCCAGATCTCACCCCTCTCGATTATTTATTATGGGGCTACCTTAAATCAAAGGTCTACATCAACAGACCACAACATTTAAAAGACTTGAAAAATCAAATTCGTGAAGAATGTCGCTTTTAGTGCGGAAATCATCCAAAATGTTCTCAGAGAATTTTCGGATAGACTTGCTTACTGTCAAGAAACCAACGTGGCAATTCGAACATTTAATTGGTTAATGTATCCATTAAAAGGATTTTCAAAATAATTTTTATGTAGATAAAAAATATTTTTTGCAAATAAGAATTTTTTAATCATGAACTTTTAAATTAAATAATACCTAAAAGGTATTTTACATTTTACATCAAAATGTGCGGAATTAAAAAACAAAATCGACGTGTTTAAGGAATTTATGGGGAAAAATGCACATTTCTTTCTTATAGTGTATTTTTGTATTTACTGATGAAACGAATTATTTCCTATATTGTGTTTTTTTTTAAGATTGACAAATAAAGAAATTAAGACTAAAAGAATAGTAGAGTTGATGGGTTCGAGCTATGTTAACTTAGTTGATAGAGATTTTATGCAAAAATTGCAACAAAAACTTCAAGAGGATCATACCAACAAAATGGTGGAAAGAATAAAAACCAGGGAGGTAAAATGAAATTTTTAAATTTCTAATTTGGTAAAATCCTTATAATTTTAAGTGTGAAGAAATGGACAGGGTAAAAAACTTGGTATTGGACGGTAAAATACCCTTAAAGCTTGCCCCTCCAGAAATGGAATGCCATCCAATAATGTTCCTGGAAAGTTATATTAATTCTGGACAAAAAAGAAGACAAAAAGTAAATTAAAAATGCAAATTATTTTAATATTTACATTATCTCTTTTAGGCTTCAAAACTTAGTAATCCAAGTACGGCAAGATCATTTCAACTCAAAACACCATCATCCAGAATAACCCAAGAAAATGAAAATGATAATGAAAATAATGAAAAAAAATTGGAATTTGGTTTTACAAGATCTTCCACATTATCAAATGAAGAAATGCCTAAGGAAACTACCAATGAATTTGTCAAAGTTAAACATGATACCGAGCTTATGAAGCAACTTAGAAACGCGGAAGTAAGCAAAATTGTGTTATAAAATATCATTATTATCTTTAAAAGCAAAAATCCAGTATCTATTTGTGGATAATTGTATATTATGTATCAAGTTTGATAAACGCTATTTTAAACACGAATTTAATTAAGGCACGAGCGAGCTTGCGAGCGAGTGCTTAAATTAATGAGTATATAGAAAAGTTTTTAAACGAGGTGCATACTATACTTTTTCTACGAAAAATACTTATTATTATTATCTTAAATTTATTTAAATCAAATATTTATATAGAGCGCCATCTATGAAACAATAGGGGAATCTGTGTGTCACCGTCAAATGTAAAATTTTTATATTTTATAAACACAGATTATAAAGGTTATAAATCGAAATGTATTTCTTTAAAAAGGACAGTTTTTCACAATGAAAGTAAAGAAAATGTTTTATGAGAACTTTACAGTGGAGTCCGTGCCCGAATTTAAGTTATAGTTTACTGCCGGCGAAATTAAAAGGTCATTACAATGTTCATATAAACTTTTCAAATATTGGTGTCAGGGATGTCAGAATCTGTCAAAAAAATCCGCTAGATTTTGTTTAAATGCACCTTTATTACAAAAATGACACAATTAACAATAATGAATAACGTCAAATTGACAATTTGCATTGTATCAATGTGTCATTTTTGTGTTTAAGGTGGATTCAAACAAAATATAGCGGATTTTTTTGACAGGCATCCCTGATTGGTGTTGAGAAAGTATTTAATACTTTTGTATTTTTGTATTGAAATAATAAAATAATTTTCACATTTAGTATTATTTTACAAGAAAGGCATGCTATTTTAACGATTTTATGACATTTGGCAACTGTCAACTAACTTAAAACTAACCTCAGCCCGTGACTAAAACGCCATAAAGCCACAACTTGACAATGTGTATTTAAAAGGTTACTTAGTGTCATGGAAACATGTACGATAATGGGCGTTTTAAAGGTGGGAGTAGAAAAAATTAATTAAACGGACTTTGCGCATGACTTTATACAAAAGTCATTGTTAGTTTTGGGAGTGCTATTGGAAGGGCGTCATTCAAATGGAAATCGGGGCCTCCTTGATTACCATTTTACTTACAATACTAATGAATGATTGCGCTTACCCAACGATGTTCCAGTATCTTTTTGTTGTATGGTTGACTATTATGTCAAGGTTTATCAACTTTAGTTTAGGAAAACTTTTACGAAATACTGCATTGTTTTTATTTCAGTACCTATACATAGTGTAATATTTCAGTATTTTACCATTTTGCTTTGGGAGGAGTATAATATAGCTAGAGCTATTGCAGTTTCATAATCTCTACAAATGAATTAGTCAAAAATGACTAATTTTCATAGCAAAAAAGTAGTCACTAATAATTCTCGTCAATAGCAATTTTTATACCGAAAATTTAGATTGTAAAATTGTCCCTTGAATCCGAAAATGTCGTCAAAAGTTTGAAAAGTAGAACAGTTTTTGAGATGTAGTCAATTTTCGATATAATATGGAATTGACTATATCTTAAAAATTACTCTACTAATAACACTATGTAACATGATATTTGTTTATCTGGATTTTATTACACAAATCGTAGTAGGCCATGCCCCCGATTACGTAACATACATTTGTTTTTTCAAACTGTCAAATTTTCAACGACAGCCGTCAGATCGTGTTGATGGCTTTGAGTGTCATTAGGGGACATCCTTTAATTACGTGAGGCATTTTTCTGATAATTTAGACCCCTCCCTCCCCCTTGGTGAGATTTGGTGAGATGTGGTAGACCCCCCTACTATCCCTCACGTAAGATTTTGGCCATTAAACTTGTCTTTGTGGACAACATGCAAAAAAAAATGAATATTTTTTTTAACTAAAATTGGATTATAATACAAATTTTTTAAACTCAAAAGTTAACGTGAGATTTTAAATGAAAGGTTTCCTTGGTAACCAAAAAAGAGAAAATTATACTTTGTTATCTATGATACTGACCTTGTCAAAGTTTCATTAGAAAGTTTAAAAGAAATGGGATGCGGCATGTCGTTGAAAGTACCTACACTATTTGCATTCGCATCTTGACTTTTTCCGTGAAAATCTGGGAGATGTCAGCGAAGACATGAAGAAAGATTCCATCAAGATATTCGGGCAATCGAAAAGTGATAACAAGGAAGGTGGGATGCGACAATGATGGGTGACTATGTTTGGAAACTACTTCGGGAAGAAAATGCATCATGTAGAAGAAAAAGTCGTATTAAAATTCATTTTTGAGCCAAGATTTAAAATCTATGTTAAAAAAATATTTTTCTAGATTGTATGTTTTGTTAAAATAATAATTCTGAGTTGAATTTTTTGCCATTTCTTGTCAATATTTTTTTTTGTTTTTCATAAAACTGGGTTTGGTTATACAGGGTGGCGCATAAGTCCCGTTATGGTTTTCATAATGAATAACTTTTTTTTCTTATAATATTTAGTTATTTTTATTTTTCAACCGTTAAATACATTGTTTGGAAATTATTTTACATTATGTTTGTAACCTTCGGGTTTGGTTTTAACTATATTTTTTGTTTCACATTAAATTGTGCTTTACTATTTTTTGTTTCACATTAAATTGTGCTTTACTACTTTTTGTTTCACATTAAATTGTGCTTTACTTTTTGTTGAATATATTATACCATTGGTTTAGTGTTGAGCACTTAAATCGGTGGGTTTTTCCTTTAATATTTCCGATGTTAATATTCATAACTTTAAAATCTTGCCTTAATTGTTTTAATTAATATTTGCTTAATATCCATAACTTTAAACTCTTGCTTTAATTGTTTTACTTATTACTTACCTAATATTCATAACCTTAAAATCTTTAATTATTTAACTTCATAACTTGCCTTGATATTGAAACTACGTATAACTCATGAGACTTTATTGAGGAACAACAGCAACAATACAAAGTGTTTTATAGCCATGTCACTCAGGTTGTCATATTCTTGGCAGTCCATTCGGCTAAGATTTCCTAAAAGGAAAAGTGGTGTTATCAAGCGAATATGCATTTTTAATTGAGCTTAAATATTATTTGTTTTTCTTTTATTAATAACTTTGTGGGATGGGATGTTTATTAGTTGCAGAACATCCTACTTGTATTTTGCGTATTTTGGCTGTTAAAGGGTTTGTCAGGCCATTGAGGTCACCTAAAAAGAATACGTTTTATTATTGCCTTGAGACAGCTAGGGATGCGTAAAGAATAAAGGTGGATTTAGCCATCATTTAATGTAATGTAATGTAACGTAACGTAATGTAACGCAATTTAACGAAAAATTGTGCCATTTATACAACATTTAGTATAAGGTTGTAAGCATGCGCAATGCGGACGTGTTGGTGTTTTTTGAAACCGATGTTGGCACGACTGGGTGATAAGTGACATTAGTGAAGTGAAGTTTCTTTGTTTGTTATTTTGATTTTAAGTATGCTTTTGAAAAGGACGCAATTAGTAGCCCTTCATTTGGGGATTTTGGGTATTTTGGTCGCAGGCTTTCAATACCTTCAAGCAAGAAAGAAGAAAAGAATCCGACGATTTGGTGTAAGACCTATTAATAGGGCCCGCAGGACATTGGGCCATTTTAGAACCCTTTTTACTGCCATGAAAGAAATAGACCCTGAGCAATTTTTTAAATACACTAGGATGACGTCTGACCAGTTTGATAACCTGCTGGAATTGGTGGAACCTCATCTGAGACGTTACAACAAAAACAAACTACACTTGTCACCTGCAGAACGTCTGGCAATCACTATACAGTATGAATAACATTAGGAACTCATTTAGTATATTCTCAAATAGTTTTCTTTCAGAGGGTTGCTCAATGCAGCAATTGGCATGGGACTATTATATTGGACATGCAACAGTACATGTAATAGTAAATGAAACATGCAGAGTTTTATGGGATGTACTGCAGCCAATATATTTGCCAGCACCAAATAATGAAATGGAATGGGAAAGGATATCAAATCAATTTTATAGCCGCTGGAATATTCCCAACTGTATTGGAGCGGTTGATGGGAAACATGTAGCCATTGAAGCCCCAGCCAATTCAGGCTCTGTTTTTTTTAATTATAAAAAACATTTTAGGTGTGTATGCCAGATTGTAGCTTGCCAAGTACTCAAATATTTTTACTTTTATTTCAAGTACAAGTATAAAGTACTTGTAAGAAATTTTTTTAGTAATTATTAACAATAAATACAGTTTTGATTGTAGCATAGTTTTATTTATATATTTTTTGTTTTAGTATTGTGTTGATGGCTGCTTGTGATGCCTACTATAGATTCACAATGGTAGATGTGGGAGCAGCTGGTGGAAACCATGACTCTTATGTTTTTCGTGAATCAGCCTTTGGAAAAGCATTGCTAAATGGCCAGTTGGGCCTTCCACATCCCTGTCCATTACCAAATACCAATATAAATGTTCCTTATTTTTTGGTGGGTGATGCAGCTTTTCCACTACATACAAACCTTATGCGTCCTTACCCTGGTGATCATCTGGATGATATGCAACGTATTTTTAATTATCGTCTTTCACGCGCGAGACGTATAATTGAAAATACTTTTGGAATATTAGTGCAGAGATGGCGAATTCTACGTCGCACGATTATTGCAAATGTCGATAATTGTGAGGCATTCATCAAAGCTACGATTGTGCTGCATAATTATGTGCAAAAAAAAGAGGAACAAATTCCGGAGGCTAATCGCCAATATTGTCCCACTGGATTTGTTGACTATGAAGACCAAAACGGAGTTTACCATCGTGGACTATGGCGTAGGGATTTGGCACCGTTGCGACCAATAGGTCGTTTGGCTTCAAATAACAGTGCGCGAAGTGTACGAGAACGAAGAGACAGTTTGGCCAATTGGTTTATATCCCCCCAGGGTGCTTTACCGTGGCAATGGGACCGTATATATGAAGGGGGCTTGCCTGAACTTTAAAGGTCTTGTGGTTTTTTTCATAAATTTGCTGTTACACCT